CAGTGAGCCGAGATTGCGCCACTGCACTCCAGCCTGGGGGAAAAAGGAAAAGCCCCCCTCAAAAAAAAAAAAAAAAAAAAAAAAAAAAAATTAATTTTTCCAAACCATGAATATGGGTTGTAGCTCTATGTTTTAAATCATTTCAATCAATGTTTGTAGATGTCAAGGTACAAATTTCTGACCTTTTTATGTTTGTTTCTTTTTTTTTTTTTTTTTTTTGAGATGGAGTCTTGCTCTGTCACCCGGGCTGGAGTGCAATGGCCAGATCTCAGCTCACTGCAAGCTCTACCTCCCGGGTTCATGCCATTCTCCTGCCTCAGCCTCCCAAGTAGCTAGGACTATAGGCGCCGGCCACCTTGCCCGGCTAGTTTTTTGTATTTTTTTTTTAGTAGAGACGGGGTTTCACCATGTTAGCCAGGATGGTCTTGATCTCCTGACCTCGTGATCCACCCGTCTCGGCCTCCCAAAGTGCTGGGATTACAGGCTTGAGCCACCGCGCCCAGCCGTTTATTTCTAAGTATTTCTTAATTTAAGTTCTCCAGCAAATGGAAGTGTTTTAAATTTTTCTTTTAAAATTGTTTATTGTTAAACTGTGGGAATTCAACTAATTTTAGGTGCTAATATGGTGTTGTGCAAATCCACTGAATATGTTACTTAGTTCCAGTAGTATTTTGGTTGACTCTGTGATTTTCTACACAGAAGATCATGTCATCTACAAACAAATATAATTTTACTTCTTTCTTTCTGACTTGGATGAGTTTTATTTCCTCTGCTATTTCATTGCTCTGTCTAGGACAGCCAGTGTTGATTGAATAGAAGGGGTGAGGGCATTCTAGCATCATGTGAGGTCCTACAGGAAAAGCATTCCATTTTCCCTGCTTGGTTATTTATTCATTTGTCATTTCATGGATGGTCTTTCTATTGTTGAGGCAAATTTCCTTTTCTATCTATTTTGTTTAGGATTTCTATGATGACTCGATTTTGAATTTTGTGAAATACTTTTTTCCATCTATTAAGATGATGTGGTTTTCATCTTTCATTCTGTTCAAGTGGTATATCACATTGATTTGCTTGAATATGTTGAACCATCCTTGCATTCCAGAAATAAGTGGCACTCGAATATCTACATTTTTTTTAATGTCCTCTTGAATACAGTTTTCTAGTACAAGGGATCTTGAAGAAGGTCATGGAAAAATACGTATTATGAGAAAATTGTGCATGAATTTCACAGTTTTTGCACCAAAATAACCTGGTGCATGCCTGTAATCTCAGCTTCTCTGGAGGCTGAGGCAGGAGAATCGCTTGAAGCCATTTGGCAGAGATTGAGGTGAGTTGAAATCATGCCATTGGACTCCAGCCTGGGCAACAAGAGTGAAACTCCATCTCAAAAAAAAAAAATAGAAAAAGAAATAGAAAACATCACTGATTGGTTAAAGCTATTGAATTAGACAGAAATGTAACTCTGAAAATATATATTTAAATATTGAATAATGAAGAGCATTTCTGAATGGTGTGTATATACATATATATTTTGTATATGATTTCAGATGCAATTTTAGATATTCTATGAAATTGTATAGGCAGAAGGATACAGCACAAACTGGTAAAAATTGTGTCTAGATATAAATGACTACTTTTTATTTTAGTGTTTAAATATTTTATTACATTTGTTCAGGTGAGTGTTAATTTTCTGTTTATGCATTGCCACGGTATAGCCAGCAGTTTACTACAACACTCATTTATTTTCTCACAGTTCATAGATGAAAAATGTGTCAGGTTTTTGTGGGTACTCTGGTTTCACAAGGCCAAAATCAAGGTCAAAGCCATGGGATCGAGTCTTGAGATTGTGGGGGCAGAATTTCCTTCTAAGCCCATTCAGATTGTTGTCAGAATTCATTTCTTTCTCCTGATCCCCATATATTCAAAATCCAGCACGTGAAATCACCCTCGCGCTCCTGGGTCCTAACTTCCTCTGCTTTTGCATCTCTCTGACATACATTTCTGCTGCAGGGACACATAGGACCTACCCAGATAATCCAGGATAACTTTATTTATTTTTCTTCTTTTTTTCTTTTTCTTTTTTTTTTTTTTTTTGAGACTGAGTCTTGCTCTGTCGACCAGTCTGAAGTACAGTGGTGCAATCTCTGCTCACTGCAACCAGTGCCTCCCGGGTTAAAGCGATTCTCCTGCCTCAGCCTCCCGAGTAGCTGGGATTACAGGCACACACCACCGTGCTGGCTAATTTTTGTATTTTTAGTAGAGACAGGGTTTCACCATGTTAGCCAGGCTGGTCTTGAACTCTTGATGTCAAGTGATCCACCCACCTCGGCCTTTCAAAATGCTGGGATTACACACAGTTTTCTCTTTCAAAGTCAGATGAGGTCAGGCATGGTAAGTGGTGCCTATAATCCCAGCTACTCAGGAGACTGAGGTAGGAGGATTGCTTGAACCAGAGAGGCAGAGGATGCAGTGAGCCGAGATCGCGCCACTGCACTCCAGCCTGGATGACAGAGCAAAACTGAGTCTCAAAAAAAAAAAAAAAAATTCAAATGACTAGTAACCTTCATTCATTAGGAAATTACCAGCCAAATTCCTTTTGGTAGGTAACATAACATAAACACAGGAGTAGCACCAGGAGTTGGAGACCTGCCTACAACATCATAGGACCAGTAAACTTTTTTGCACTGAGAAAAAAATTTGTCAGTCTAGCTAGAAAATTATTAACATTTGGAATATTTCTGTAAAGAGAAATTGGTATACTATGTATTGATAAACTACATTTGTAATACTATATTTTACATAGTAAAATATTACATAGTAAAATATATTTTATTTATTTCATATATTTATATTATATTTATACAAAATATAGTATTTTAAAGTATGGTATTTTACAATACTGTATTTTACATGATCTTGTACCATTTTATGGCTGCATAGGCCATGATGTATGGGTACCACAATAACTATACATCAATATAATTAACTATACATCAATATAATTATATAGTAATATATATTTAAATATTGGTAAACTATATGTTTCTATGAAATTTCTATATTATTTGGTATTCAGTTGTGCTCACGAGTCGATTGATTTCTTTTTTTTTTTTTTCCCTGAGAGCAAATCTTGTTCTGTAGCCCAGATCTGGGGAGCAGTGTCGCAATCTCGGCTCACTGCAGCCTCTGCCTCCCAGGTTCAAGCGATTCTCCTCTCTCAGCCTTCCAAGTAGTTGGGATTACAGGCGCGCACCACCACGCCCAGCTAATTTTTGTATTTTTAGTAGAGATGAGGTTTCACCATTTTGGCCAGGCTGGTCTCGAACTCCTAACCTCAGGTGATCTGCCTGCCTAGGCCTCCACTAATCATATTTCCTGATCCTCTCCCTTCTCCCACCCTTTACCCTCCAATAGGCCCCAGTGTGTGTTGTTCCCCTGTATGTATCTGTCTTCTCATTTACCTCCGTCTTATAAGTGAGAACATGCGGCATTTGGGTTTGTGTTCCTGGGTTTGTTTGCTAAGGAAAATGGCCTCCAGCTCCATCCATGTCCCTGCAAAGGACGTGGTCTCATTCTTTTTTATGGCTGCATAGTCTGTGAGGTAT